GGGGATATGTACGTGATTGCGCTCAGGTCTTTGCTGCTTTTTCATCCTCTAGCTTCACTGTATCCTCGGTATGATGTCACAGTTATGGCAGTTCTCCGACCACTGAGAATGGTAGCACCAAAGCTGCTGTGTTTCACTGCTTCACTGACTGGCAAACTTCGGCACTGCTATCCTGCTAAAGATTAGGACTGTAACGCACAAATGCACCAGAGAATCACCAATGTCTAGCCTAATGAGAGGGTTGGTATGGCACTGTTATGATCCTGGCCAAATTCGAAGTACACATTCATGAGAAAGTACAATGTCGTCAAATTGCAAAAAGAAATGAATGAACTTGAGAGGAGAAAAGAGGGAAAGAAGAAGAAGAAGAAGAAGAAAGAAAGAGGGAGAAGATGATGTACAGCAGCATAAACCAATGATAATGATCTTCTTCTTCGCCAACCACTCTCCTCCTTATCTCCTCCACTCTTATTCAAACAAGAAACAATAATAATAATGTTGAATGGCTGAACCAGAATCAATGTCCGAATCCATCTTCTACTGCAGGTATCACATGAGGTCCACAACCGCCATGACCACCCTTCTTCTTCCTTTCTCCAAGGCCGAGGCTATAGCGGACTACCAGGGCATTGCCCTGCTGTGCAAAGGACAACACAAAGCAGCTATGGCTGCTCTAGCTCAGGCAACCATGCCCGACTCTGCCTCAAAGCTTCTTGGTGTAGCTCTCCCCAAAATCAGGGTCTTCCAGATGCAGCGCCCACGAAGGTGATGAAGATGGCCTCCTCCATAGCCAGGTAAGTACCTCTGGTGCTCCTCCCTCCTAGGTAGTCCTGTTCTTCTTCCTCTTCCCGTCCTTGCTCCTCCCCAGCAGTGCTGCTCTTGATGCTAGCGCTGCTCCAGCCAGCGCTCCAACCAGTGTGTCGCCAAACTTGCACACCGATAATGAGTAGGAGCACTTCTCTCCTCCTGGAGATATAGCGGCCTGCTTGCCTCTTGGAGAGTGACTTCCTAGGCTGCATGGCCTCCAAGCAACCGGAACCTCCTCCCTTTCAGAGGTTTCATTGCAGACTCTGATATTGCCCGTACAGGCCGTAGGCTCAGACTGGTTGGACTGGCACCCGCCTAGACCTAACCTACAACTACTGGGCCTCTAAAAATGCCAACTTTTGACTTCTGCTCGGCCTCGAGTACCTGGCACATCTACCTCTACTTGGTGTGGTACCGGCCTACCTGCTACTGGAGTGTTTTTTTCTGCTGCTCTAAGTGTCGCGGCCCTCTTTCCCCAAGTGTTTTCCCCGCTGCAACCCTCAATGTCACGGCCACAAGTACATACCGGCCTTTCAGGCCTTCCCAATGAACAAGTGCCCTTGTGGGTCACACACACACTCAAGCCGACAAGCACTTAGACAGACAGGCATACCAGCAAGCGTGCACACACACAGACTTAGAGAACTTCGTAGCATGTGGGAAACTGAGCAAGGCATTCAGTCCATGGGCAAAACTCAGAAATCAGCTGTGTGTCTCAGTCCGTGTTTGGCAGGTCATTACAGCACCCTGATTCATGTGGACAGCCGCACGCACACACACACACACACCTGTCTCTTATACACATCTAGATGTGTATAAGAGACAGATACTGTGCTGTTCTCAAGCGGCCCGAACTACA